ACACATCAACAACTACTAATGCTACACAGTACATCACCGAACTAAACTCTACTGTCTCTATCTCTTTCTGGACTCGAACATTCACTTTAGGACTCCACCAGGACTGACTTCATGGTCGACTCACAGTCCCGGTCTCCTCCATGTCCTCTCTTGAACTGCCGCTTTCTTACACACTGTATCTCTGGTCCACGCAGGCTTTCGATCACATGACCATAACATTGGTCATATTTACGTGTAATTGTAGTACTGTCCCTTGTCCATCGCCTGAGTTCACGTGTGTCAAGTGAACCTACAGTTAACCCTTTCGCGCCGCCAATAGGGTTATAACAGTATAAATAAAAGTCTTTAAAAATATATTATTGAATACAAATTTTGGCACTTGTTAATGGAATAATTTTACAGAATAAATGTTTGTATTTGCCAGTATTTCTATATTAGGCTGTATAATAAAGAGAAATTAACTTTGTCTTGATTTAGTGCCCTTTATTTTTGCCTTGCTACTTGTGCCACTAGAAATTTTTGTTTAAAGATATTGATTTAATTTGATTGATTTGCAAAAAAATGATGTTTGAGACGTACTGCCATCTATTAAAACTAACTGCCAGCATCAACAAATTATAACTATATTAAACATGTTTAAATATTAGCATTTAATAACTGGTTTCCAAACCTTTATAACTCTTCTATGTTTATTTTAAAAATAATTTCTGTGTTTATTCTGTTGCCATTGGTATTCAAGTTAATAAAACTTATTATGTTAGAATATTGATTTTATTGTTTTTTTTCAAGTTCCTTAGCCCATTAGTTGGCTCTGTACTAGTCCTAATGTAGCGTTTGTTGTTGACTCTGTACTAGTCCTAATGTAGTGTTTGTTGTTGGCTCTGTACTAGTCCTAATGTAGTGTTTGTTGTTGGCTCTGTACTAGTCCTAATGTAGTGTTTGTTGTTGGCTCTGTACTAGTCCTAATGTAGTGTTTGTTGTTGGCTCTGTACTAGTCCTAATGTAATGTTTGTTGTTGGCTCTGTACTAGTCCTAATGTAGTGTTTGTTGTTGGCTCTGTACTAGTCCTAATGTAGTGTTTGTTGTTGGCTCTGTACTAGTCCTAATGTAGTGTTTAATGTTGGCTCTGTACTAGTCCTAATGTAGTGTTTGTTGTTGGCTCTGTACTAGTCCTAATGTAGTGTTTGTTGTTGGCTCTGTACTAGTCCTAATGTAGTGTTTGTTGTTGGCTCTGTACTAGTCCTAATGTAGTGTTTGTTGTTGGCTCTGTACTAGTCCTAATGTAGTGTTTGTTGTTGGCTCTGTACTAGTCCTAATGTAGTGTTTGTTGTTGGCTCTGTACTAGTCCTAATGTAGTGTTTGTTGTTGGCTCTGTTTGTTGTAGACAACCTCTTACGGTAAATATTTTTCTTATTCATTTGCTTCAACTGGGTAGAACTTCCACTTCCAGTCATTTATATATTTCTTGAAACTATAATATCTTAAGTGGGAAGGGGGAGTGGCTGAGTTGTAATTCACTTGGTTTCCCAACCTGGTGTCTCAGGTTTGAATCTTACTAAAGGATTGAATTTTTAACTTAAAGATTTTTATGATGCACTGAGTCTACCTAACTCTAATGTGTACCTGACATTAGTTGGGTTAAGGTGTTTGATCATTGGACAGGTCTCATGAAACCTTTGTTAACCATCAGCCTAAAAAATAGATGAGCATTACATCATCTGCCATATCTGCAAACTTCAGCTACAACATCATTGCTATTACCTTACAGTAAAACACCAAAGCTATTATTGTCATAGTTATTATTTTGTCTGCATCTGATTTGGCAAAATTTCTACCTTGCCGTTGGGTTTGTGTGGTCACTCTAACTATTCCACTCGTCCATAATTTTTCAAATACAATTTTTTTTCACCACCTGTACCTATCTCTTAGTGTCTTGAACCTATAGGATACCTTTTATGATCTGTCAACCATCATTCTCCATTCCTCTCTGTCTTTTTGCCTTTAGTAATGTCTTTTAACTATTGCAGTTTATCCAGTTCCGCTACATTTTGAAAGCAAATACACTGTTGAAATCAATGATGTATATATTTGTTACAGTTCCAACAGCCAACAAACATTTGATTGGTGTGAATGGACGTACTACATATGACAGGCATTACAATGATAATGCTGGTCCAGTGGTGGAGCAGATCAGAGATGTGGGAAAGAAGCTTGGACATGAAGCTTTAAAGAAATATTATCAGACAAGTTCTGGTGAAGGTAGGATACTCTGTTATCTTTTACCTTTATGTAGAGACTATATTTAATGTGGACAACATAGATTCATTATCTACCATTGGATAGCTCCAATGGGTTAAAACTTATCCCACTTTAGTTGATTTTTTTGACAAGTTTAAAAGAATTGCCTCCTGGAAGAGCTGTAAAAATCAATTCTGGCGCCAATTTGCCCTCATTGGCATAAAGGAAAGCAGCTGGCACCAGATGACCTTTAAAGAGACAGTTGAAGAGCTCTCACAAAGGCTGCAGACACACATTTGAGTGCCATAGAAAAGCCCTTGTAGAAGACAGGAGCAGGAGGAAAAAAGAGAACTTAAATAGACCCATAGCAGACAACAGCTTTATCTGCTTTAGATAGGACAAATTATGTAGGTTCTCACTGGGTCTGCATAATCATGTATAACACTGCACTTATCCTTAGACTCCAGAATTGAAGACATTGCCATTACATATTTATGTAGGCAGAGAGTTTCCCAAAAAGGAAATTGTTGAAGTGGTTTAGAATGAACAATGAGAGAAGATTGCAAAGATTTTATTGCAGAAAGTTTATATTAATGTGTTAATTCAAAGTCTGGCCATTGTTAAAGTTGGGTTGAAGCAGCCAATATATCTCTTGAAGAACTAGTTGTGGAAGATTCCTTTCTGTACGATATAAAATACATAAAGACTAGTGACACAATTACATCAGATCTGGACCAAATCCTTTATTCCAATGTCAGATATTGTATTTCAAGGTCATTCAGGATCACTAAAAAGTATGTAGAAGCCCAATTCAGCAAGCATTAGTTTTGTGTTTGTGTGTGTCGGTTATATTTCCTATTGTAGGTCACAGTTGGGGCAGTGCTGCCACAGTAAATACTGCATTCCTCACTAATCTTCAGACTTGAAGACATCCCTTACTATTACCTTGTTTGTGTTTGCATCTATATTGTTATTGTTATAGTAGTTATGATGAGGTGGACAATTTTAGTCAAACTGTTATTTTTATTTTCTTGGACCAATAAATTATCTGTAATCTTATTTTCTTAATTGCCGAAACCATTGCCACCATTAGGGTATAAACAGAAGAATTTGAGTTTGCTTCCAAGTACAAAACTAAGACATTTCCTTTTACAACTTAAGAATTATCTCTTCATTTCTTTAAATTAGTGTTGTAATGCAGTCAGAATTTTAGTAAGTTATTTTTAATGGTTAATATAATCATCAATATACATACATTCTGCAGACAAAGAGTTAATTGGGAAACTAATGGAAGAATTCAACATCACCCCTCCACCTGCTCGACCAGGCAGCAGACCTCTGTGTCCCTCACCACCAGCAAGAAGTCCCTCCAAAATGTTGACTGCTTCGCCATCTTTGTGTCAGACAGCTCTACAAACTCCAGGTGACACTCCTGCATTAAACAGATCAGCACTTCTTTCTAAAACTGGAAACAGGAAGTCAGCCCAAACTGTCAGACTGACCCCAACCATGACTCATGTGAAGGAAACATCTCACTCGTCTAGTCCTAACGGTCATCAGAGACACTTGGTACCAGCAGCCACGCCTATTTTAATTCCCCACTATCCAATACATTACCCTTCAATGCCAACATCACCTATTTCTGTGCCCTTTTCACCTCCAATGGCTCTATCTTAATATTAGTTAAAATTTACTTTCAATTTAATGTTTTAGTCAGTTTGTTTTAGTTTTAGATTTCATAAGTCTTTATATGTATCAAGTAGTTTTTATTAATATAAAGATTAAAACTTTTTTGAGAAATATTTTCTAACAAAGATTACCAGAATATTAAAAACACAGATTAGTCATGTAGTGCTACATAAGTAAACAGACAGAAGTCATTTTGTGATCATCTATATATGCTTTTGTTTTAATGCCAAAAGAAGCTTAGGTAAGATAATGTAAACGGTCAACTGTCTCTCTAGTTTATGAAGATATCATTTGGCCAGTTCATTTACCAACTGCCTTTATTTTTCCAATAATAGTGTCTGGTATTCATTAGAGCTGGGTGGACTTGAGGGCGCTTTAAAGATCCAAAAATAAAATCCCCAGTCTTCACCAGAGTTCCAATCCTTTCTTTCATATTCATGTAAATGTATTTTCCTTTTAATTTGTTTCGTTTATCTATGAAGAGACTTTTACAGGGATACATTATATACCTGTTTAATAGGATTGGATGGGTTTATTAAAGATCTATTGATTAGAAATAAAAGTTGAAGAGTCCTTGAAATCAATAACATGAAACTAGTTTGTCTTCTTGAACTCTTGCAGTCTTTTAGTTTGTCTGGCACATTGGCTCAGTGGTAAAGCACTAGGGTTACAAACCAAGAAGTCTTGGGATTTTTTATTTCATTATTTTTAAAGTTCTGCTAATTCCACTGAGCTCTAATGGGTACTGGTGCCTGAAATTAGTTTCAGAAAAGTAAAGGCAGTTGGTCATTGTGCTGGCCACATGGCATCCTGGTTAACTGTGGGTCAGAGAAACCTATGACCTATAAGGAACTAGATGCTTTGATTTTCTGACAGTTTCATCACTATGGGGATTCTCTAGGTTATAATTATAGATTGAACTCAACAATGTTCAAGTAATTTTGTTGATGTCACTCTTCACACAATTAGAAATATGAAAGAATTATTTCATCTAAATTTGTTAGACATGTTTTTGGTATTCCTTTAGAGTTTAAAGATTATTACATCCTATTCCAAACATTCTGTGGGACGGGAGGGGGGGGGGGGGGGGGTTAGAGGCAGTGACAGCGGTTCAAACTGAGACAACTCTCAGGAGTGCTTATCACACAACCATTACAAAAAAAATAGATCAAACATCTCAAGTTAGGTGTAACAATAAAAAATGAGTATATCAATGTATAAAAAATTTTTTTTTTGGTTTCTAATTTTGTATTAAACACTTTTCATTTCTTATGTTCTTTCAAATAAATTTTTAACATCTGAAGCTAAATCGGAGAAATGGTGGCTGAATGGTAAGGTCCTTGGCTTCCAAACTGAGAGGTCCCAGGTTTGAATCTTGGTGAAGACTGGGATTTAAAATTCAGTCTTTTTAGAAAGCTCTAAGTAAAATGGGTTACTGCTGAGTTGGGTAAAGAAAGGGTGGCTGGCCACATGAAACCCTTGTTAAGCCTCATAGATCAAAAGGTCTGAAATGGATACTTTTAAAAAAAATATGTAAGCTAAATTTACTTGTACACTTCTATTATACAATAACTACATGCTTCATTTGTTACTTTTTAAGTTGAATCTATTTGTACACTTCTATTATTGTCAATTAGGTTTAAAACTGGTATGTACATGTCTATTTATATTAAATCAATTCCTCTAACAATTGTTCTTGTCTAGTCTTGCACATAGAATTTCTTTTCAATTGAATAAAATATTACAAATATATATATATCAGTGTCTCTTCCAGTGTATGTACGTAATCTAGAAACAATATAAATATATATCAGTGTCTCTTCCAGTGTATGTACATAATCTTTAAGCAATGCTGTGGAAAGTCACTTAAGATAAAGGGAGGGAAATCGAATAGAAAATGCAGTAATTTTTTTTTATTGTAGTTTCAGAGCCTTAGCGTTTGGCAGATACAAAAAAAGAAAAGAAAATTTAAAAAAAAAATTCAATTACAAAAATTTATTCAGAAAATCACTGAATAGCAAATATATGTTATTTACACTTCAGTATAACAGCTTTAAAAAATAGCTATATAGTATATTCCATCCAGATTACATTATAAAATAATATATACCGGGTATAAGATTTAGCAACCATAAAGAAAAAAATAATTTGTTAAGAATGTAGGATGTACCGGTGTGCAATCTAAAAACCCAACCAGTTTGCAACAAGTTGCTTGAAGTTCACAGAAGATTAAAATGAACCAAAATGTCATATATAACAATGTCAAATAAGAAAAAAGCGCTAACCTCAAAATCTGAAACTCGTGATGACTGTTCAATAGTTCTATTCTATCTACTATTCATCTAGGGAGTTCTTTAGATAGCATATATATAATTGTCAGTTTAGATAAAACTTGCAAACATTTTCTCTTGAGTTTAACTCATGAGTAAAGAGCCCAAATAATCAACCCCACACTGAGTGCCTTCTGAAATGTTTTATGAACTTTAGGCACAGTTATCATAAAAGACAGTAGCAGGTGATGGATCGTGAAATCCCTAGGCAGAAAACATATATATAAATGCACTTAATAAATCTAAAGTATGTCACATTTGTGAAGAAAGAAATACCGTTATGATGTATGGCTATGATAGAATTCAAGAGACCTGGAGTTAAGCTGCATCAGACATTTGAATAAAGCTGCATCTGCTTGCTTTTTTGGTGTAACTTAAAATGTAACATATAAATTACAGACATTCCTATAAAAAAGAAGACATGTGTTATTTTCTTTTGGAGCTCTGAGTTGTCAATTTCTTTGAGGGGGTAGTGTCGTGTAGGGCAGTTTGCAGAGAGCCTGAATAGTGAATATTGTTGCAATATATAGGCCTATTGACCTTTTTGAATTTCAAGATTATAAACTCTAAGAGAGAGACAGACATTTATTATTGAAATTACAAACATTATTTCGTTACCATATACCTCATATATACTTTTTATAACAGAAAGAGAAGTAGAAGTAGAATAAATCGGAAGTACGCTTTAAATAAAGACTCAAAAGTAAAGTAGCAATTATGCATAAAACCCTAAACCATAATCTTCAAATACAAAAACAAAATGTAATAAAATACTCTGAAAGACACAAAGATAGCTTTGGATGGCGTTCTGACTGACATGAGAAAACAAAATATAAAGTGAATTCAACAATTGTCAATGTTATTTAATAATAGTTATTTGAATACATTAAAAATAGAGTTGTCTAACTTGATTAGTTTAAGCGTGTGTAGACTTAGATCTTGACTAGGCCTATTCCTTAGATCTAATACGTTCTTGTGTATGTTTTATCTTCTTATCTTATATAATACAGACGTTACTTCAAAAAAGAAGATGATTACGTCCTACGAGTCATGCATATTAACCAATGACTTAAATTCGGCCAAGTCACTGGTTTTTCTGGCTAGCTCAGGCAATCCATTCCATGCTCTAATAGCACCAGGGAAGAAGGAGTATTTGTACAAATTTGTCCTAGCATAGGGGACGAGGAATGTGCCTTTATTTTTGTGTCTTACAGAGTATTTTATTAAGTTTTGTTTTTGTATTTGAAGATTATGGTTCAGTGTTTTATGTATAATTGCTAGTTTACTTTTGAGTCTTCTGTTCTGAAGGCTTCCTAAATTTAGTGATTTTACTAATGGTGTTACTCTAGTCAAATGTGAATATTCGTTTGATATGAATCTCACTGCTCTATTTTGTGTTTGTTCCAGTTTCTAAATGTTTTCTTGAGTTGAGGGGTCCCAAACGGTGGATGCATATTCTATTATTGGCCTAACCAAGGTTAAATAACATTTTAGTTTTATGTTCTTATTTGATTTATGGAAATTTCTTTTAATAAACCCTAATGCTTTGTTGGATTTTTTTGTAGTTTCATCAATATGTAGATTCCATGACAGTTTTTCATTTATTATAACACCTAGGTATTTTGCGTTTTTAGTCTGTGTTACTGGTTTGCCATGAATAAGATAAGTGGAATTAATTTGTTTTAGTTTTTTTGTTACTCTTAACAACTGACATTTTTCTGGGTGGAAAGACATGCTCCAGTTTGATTCCCATTTCTGTAATTCATCTAATTCTCTTTGTAAAATATCTGTGTCTTGTTTTGTTTTTATTGTTCTATTTATTATGCAATCGTCTGCAAATAATCTGACTTTTGTTCCTGAACTAATGCAATTTGGTAAATCATTTATGTAAATTAAAAATAGTAGTGGACCCAAGACTGTTCCTTGAGGTACACCTGAGTTTACTGTTATTGGTGTTGATTTAGAGCCATTTATTATTACAGTTTGTTCTCTCCCTATCAGAAAATCTTTAATCCACTGATGCAGTGGACCATTAATGCCGAAATATTTTTAATTTTTTAAGCAAACTATGGTGGTGAACTTTGTCAAAAGCCTTGGAAAAATCTAGTAAAATAGCATCTATTTGTTCACTATTATCTAAACCTTTTGAAAAATCATCAATTAGTCCTATTAGTTATGTTTCACATGATCTATATTTCCTAAAGCCATGTTGGTATGGGGTGATAACATTATGTTTGTCTAAGTTGTTTATGATGTTGCTACATATTATGTGTTCTAGGATTTTACATGTGATGCTGGTAAGTGATACTGGTCTGTAGTTTCCTGGATCAGATTTTTCTCCTTTTTTAAATAGGGGGGTGACATTAGCTTCTTTCCAGTCCTTTGGTACTCTGCCCTGGTTAAGCGATGCCTGAAAGAGTATTTTGAACACTGGGGCTAGCTCATTGCTTAGTTCTTTGAGTAATCTAGCTGGAATACCATCAGGTCCAGATGCTTTATTTGGTTTGATGTTGGATAATAGTTTTTGAATTCCATTTTCTTGTACTACTAAATCTTCTATGTTGTCTACTTGGTTCTAATTAAGAAATATGTCTTTGTCTCCTGGGGCTGAGAATGCTGATGCAAAGTATTTGTTTAGGATGTTTACTTTAGTTTCATTATCCTTATGTATTATGTTATGTTCATCTTTTAATGGCGCTATGCCTGTTGTTTCCATTTTCTTAGACTTAATGTATGACCATAGGTTTTTGTTGTTATCACTACGCTTACCTACGATATTGCATCCTCTGTAGACCACCAGCTTGTCGCCCCTTCACAGGTTGTGAAACCATCATCAGTCGACAGTAAAGATTATTGAGAGAATGGGAAAAAGTGACTTAGGAAAATTCTGTTTCTATCCAAAAATAGCGTACGTATATGAACTTAAATACCGCGAAAAATTTAATTTCTCTGGCGGTCTCTGAACGTATCCCCCTTAAAAGTAAAAAAAAAATGTCTTTATTAATTTTTATTAAAGAAATTAATTTTTCATTAGTTACATTTGTGCTACATCACTATAAATAGTTTACGACTCTTTCATGTAGAAATAACTATAGTCTAGCAACTGATTCAAACAGAAATACGGTATTAAATGTAACTAACTTCTCTTGACAAAAAATAACTACCAATACCCTTGTAACTATTATCCATTTTTTTCACAGGTGGCTTAGCTGTAAATTGGTTTAGCCTAAGAGTATACAAGACATAAAACTCACCAGCAAACATGAAATGCCCCGCTATTAAGAAAATTGAGTTTGCATTAAAATAAACATAAACATTTAATATTTGAAACTTTTTAGCTACATTAAGGAGATTTACATGTCCATTTTTTTTCATAATGTACACTATGCTTGAAGGTTACCAAATGTTGTCAAATGTATAGGATAATTTTTATTTTCCTTTTTAAATGTGGAGGTCATCAACACTGACCGCTTTTTTTCCACACATCAAAATAGTTTTGATAACTGATGTTAAAAAGATTAAGAGAAGAGCACTATTATCAGCTTTGGATAAAATCGGTAACAGATATTGAAAAAGTTATATTTAATGTAACAGTGCTAAATCAAAATTTTACAGCGATTCAACTACTTTGACGATTTGTTTATTGTTAGAATTGTATCTAATTTATGTTTCAGAAATTGTTTGCTGTAAGAAAAATAAGATAAAAATGATCGATAGCTACTTATAAAGATTTAGCAAAAACGAAATTACAATGATAGTTTGTGTTTTCACTTAAACTCAAAGGAACGTCCTGTGTCTGCTGTTTGGTATTGGACACTTCAAAATATTGCTCCTTAAGGGGTCATTTTTATGGCTGGTATCTGCATAGCTGTTGTGGTGTAGGGGAGTTTCCTCTGTGTTCTGGAATAGGCCTCGCTTCTAACTTTAATCTAATGTGCTGTAACAAGCAGATTTAAGCGATACTTGATATTCAAAATGTTTCATATCCCGTCTACGCTTTCTACTTCCATTTAAAAGAACAAATATTTGCGAAACAAGGTTTTCTAGCTTTTAGTTATGAAGTCCAAATTCAGAATCAGGCTTAACGCAGAGGGGGACATTCGTTGTGCCACTAGAATCCTGATCTGGTGGAACAGAAACAAGCTCAACAGTCGCACTGCCATTGGCGTGTTAGTAAGTACTGTGGAAACACTATTTCTGTCACAATGTAGTTTACTGTATCAGAACTTTTTATCCATACTTCGCCATATTTGTCAAATTATCCATTAGGAAACTAAGACATTTCATTTACAATGTTTTTAAATTAGTGCTGTAATGCAGTCAGAATTCTAGCAAGTGATTTTTAATATTTAACATGATCATCAACATTCATACATTTCTGCAGACAAAGAGTTAATTGGGAAACTAATGGAAGAATT